TTTTTTTTTTTTTTTTTTTTTTTTTTTTTGTGGGTGGGTCGCTAAGAAGGTTGTAGTTTATGGAAAGATGACGAGGAATGTTGTTGAAGGGAAGATCGATAATTAAATGATTGAGATTAACACAAACCCGTGTTGAATAACTCATTCAATATGGAGTGCTTTATATGTTTGGTTTAAAGGGTTGGAACAGATATCGTGTTATGAAATGACGTGATTGTCTAGTAATATGTTCAGGATTCAAAATCTGAGTCCGACCCACGATGGCCTCGACAATCCTCTCCTCACCCTCTCTTTTTCAACACTTCTTCCGACGACTCTTCCATTGTCGATATTCATAAATTTTCTTTAGATCTCAACATTGTCCATTGACAAAGAAGAAAGAGATATCGAGGGAAAGGATGAAAACCGAGCGATATCGAGAGGGAAATATGGATCGAAAGCAAGAACGAGAAGAAACCCTAATTTTCTTTGGAAAGAATTTAAAATAATCGAGGAGTTATTATTATAAATAAATAAAAAATCAAACAATTTAGAAACACAAGAACTTAGATCAAAGAACAAGATCAACTCTTGGAGCCATTTTTCCAAATAACAGCTTCAAGTCATTCTCCAATGGCGTTAAATTAAGATCCAAGCAGTTAACTCCCATACTCCCGGACCTCTTCAGCACCGGAATCTTCTCCACCGCCGGCACCAACGGCACCACCGAAAACCCACCTCCGTTCGTCGTCGTCATCCGGTGCCGCCGCATGTGCCCGCCGAGAGCCTGCCCGGTAGAGAACACCTGCCCGCACAGCCCACACTCGTGCATTTTCTTTGATTCCGCCGCATCCTTGGGCTCTTCAGCCGCCGTTCGTGGTCGTTTGTGGCTGGCACGGTGGCCGCCGAGAGCCTGAAACGAAGAGAAGAGACGGTTGCAGGTTTTGCACTGGAAAACGGCTGCGTTTTGTCCGGGAATTTTGGAGTTGGATGTCTGAGAAAGAAGCATTAAAGATTTGGCGATGTCGGAGGCTTCAAATTCTTGTCGGATTCTCTTAGCCGCCATGTGAATAAGAGCTTGAAAGAAGAAGATTTTGCTCTGTTTTGAATTGGGAACTTAAAAATGGCGAATTTAAGATTTAATTCTTGTAAAAAAATTGATGCAAGTATTTAAAGGGTGAATTTCTGAGCTGGGTTTGGTTTGGTTTGACTAAAGAAAAGTCAAAGCTGTTCATGTTTTTTTTTTTTTTTTTTTTTAATTATTATTTTGGCTGCTGGAATTTGCTTGGAAAGGTGGACTGTGTCCTATATGATCATGTGATTGAAAAAGGACACTATTTTAAAAAATTATTTGCTATTTTTTTTTACTTCAAATTAAGATTATAAATACTATTTCCACCTTCATTTTCTAAATAAAAATGGCAAATTTTTATGATTTAAAGATTTAAAAAGTTTATGAGTAGTTGGTCAAATCTAATATTGGCGTACATGGTAGTTGGAGTCGGCGGCTCTCTTAAGATTCCCCCACTAGGATCCGTGATGAAAATGATGAAGTTGGCCCTTGTGAATAGCTTGATGTACTATCTCCCTTCAACCCTTTGAGCGAAATGCACTTCCACTTGACACCTATCAAGATGATAAACGGCTCAGTTTGTCGTGACCTTTTCTCGAATTCTCAAAACTTATGTCGCTCAATTCTCATAGGGGCTAAGAACCCATTGTTGCCTTGATTGTGCTACCGGGGGCTCTGAAAAAGTCAGAATAGGAGAGCACTCGTCTTGGAGTAGGCTTACTGGGATTACAACCCTTTGTCCCGACCATTGTAGCACGTGTGTTGCTCGAGGCATAAGGGGCATGAGGACTCTACGTGTTCCTCACCTCCCTCTGACTTATCACCGACAGTTTGCTCAGGGTTCCAACCTCAACGATTGACCTTAAATGGAAATCAGGACTCTTGAAGAAAATTGTTTTGAGAAGAGTTATAATTTTTTTTTTTGTTAAAAAAAAACAAAAACAAACAAACAATCCTTATCCAATAAATTAAAAAGATGACGTAAATATGAATGAGTGAGTCAGTTATGGCGAGCTGAAAATGGCAACGGCTTAGTACAATCCATTTGACTTTCTGAATTTTCCTCAATTTGTTTAATTTTTTAATTTTTTAAAGATTAATTATTCTAAGTGATTCAGTTTCAGAAGACACTGCCAAATGATATTTTGGAATATATAAATAATCAGAATTTTAATTCACACGTGAAGTATGATAAATATGTGATTATTTTTTATTTTAATAATAACCCCATCAATTATCTTATTTTTATTTTAATGAAGAAGGTGGAACCATCTTCTCAAGTGGGGTGATCTTTCAAAGCATGTGTTTATGTAAGAATCAACATTCAAATTTGTTGCAACAATTTCTTTGTACTTTACCAAATCATCATTTGTAAATCTTAGTAATCTAAAATTTTAATATTCATATTAACTTATACAATTTACCGAAACCGAGGCAACTAATCCCAACTTACAATCGAGGAGTACTCGATCGTTTTCATGCTATGAAAACCACATAGTATAATGTAGGGAAAAAAATAATTATCTGTGATGTCCGACATTGGTTGGGGAGGAGAACAAAAGACCCTTTATAAGGGTGTGGAAATCTTTCCCTAGCAGTCACGTTTTAAAGCCTTAAGGGGAAACTCGAAAGGGAAAGCTCAAAGAGGACAATATCTGCTAGCGGTGGATCTGGGTCATTACAAATGGTATTAGAGACAGACATCGGACGATGTGCCAAACTTCTCGCTATTTTCCAAAGGAGGGTAGACACGAGACGGTGTGTTAACAAGGACGCTGGGCCCTAAAGGGAAGTGAATTTGATGGCAGTTCTACATCAATTAGAGAAAGAAACGAGTGTCAGTGAAGACGCTGGGCCTGTGATGTCCAACATTAGTTGAGAACAAAAGACGGGTGTGGAAACCTTCTACTGGCATGCATTTTAAAGCGTTAAGGGAAGCCAAAAAGGGAAAGCCCAAAGAGAACGGTGGATCTAGGTCGTTACATCATCCTTCCTAAACTTGATGAAATTAAAAGCTTAAAGATAAAAATCGATACAAATTTGATTTTCATAAGCTTTCAATGATCTGTAAAATTATTAATGAGTTTACGAAATAGATGCTATTGAAAGCAAGTCAAAATGTAGTCTCAAGAGGGCCCAGAACTGAAGCACCTGAGAAGGCTCAATCACTTTTAATCACTTTTGGGCTTTTGAATGTGGGTGGTGGCTAATTGTTCAAGCATTGACTTGCATAAAGCTAGCTGATCAAACATGGGAAGCATCCAAGAAACATATAAAAAATATTATACATTCATCTCAGCTGAGGAATTAGTTGATCCATCTTTGAAAAACACAATCAATCTAAAACGATACACAGATACAATACAACTATTTGCCGAGGGAAGATTCGACACTAAAATATACGTTTTAACTAATTAATGATTCAACGGTAATTGTCATACCCCTCAACTAAGAGGCCAAGCCAGTTTTGAATCTTCCCATGCTCAACATAATAATTGAGTAGTCAATGTGAACATAGTTTGTAACGTTATTGACATATTCTTAAGGCTACCGTAGAACTCTGAAATTATTTGCATTCGAACACAGAGCAAATAGTAGACTAGGAATATGTTAAATTCAAAGAGACTAATCAAACAATATAGCTTTCAATCAAGTTAGAAGAGCCTAATTTCATTAATCTTCCCTCTCCACCTAACAATCGGCTAGAATTCATAATGAACAGATAATGTGTGCAGACTTTGGTTGAATGGTACCTATCAATCATCGCAAGAGATGAGCTGAAGGAGCCAAAATTTGACGATTGCTTTGTGCTCATACTTTGTGGCGGTGATAGGCATCAAGAACCAGCAAAAGTTTATTTTTATTGTAGGGGAACCGATCCATAGAATGCTACTTCCGCTGGTCCAGTCATGTAAACGTGGTTGTTTTGCTCATTCCACCCTATCTGTAATGGTCCTCCAGGTAGATCAACGGTGCAATTCTGCGTCGAGATATTTGAATCCAATGTTAGGAAATTTAAAGTGACGAGAAGATTGAAATTTGATGACCTTTTGTTTTTTCTATCTAGATAACCAAGTTGTGATGTGAGATTCCACATCGGTTGGAAAGGGGAACAAAACAGATGTGGAAATCTCTCCCTAGCAAATGCATTTTAAAGCCTTGATAGGAAGCCCGGAAGGGAAAGCCCAAAAAAGACAATATCTAGCTAGCGGTGGGCTTGGGATATTACAAATTGTATTAGAGCTAGACATCAGGCGATGTGCCAACAAGGAGGCTGAACCCCGAAGGGGGTGGACACTAGGCGGTGTGCCAGCGAGGACTCTAGGCCCCAAAGAGGGTGGATTGGAGGGTCCCATATCGATTGGAGAGTAAAACGAGTGCCAGCGAGGACGCTGGTCCCTAACGAGGGTAGATTGTGAGATTCCACATCGGTTGGAGAGGGGAACAGGACACTCTTTATAAGGGTGTCGAAACCTCTCTAGCAGATGCATTTTAAAACCTTGAGGGGAAGTCCGAAGGAAAACCCCAAAAATGACAATATCTGCTAGCGGTGGACTTGGACTGTACATGAGATTTTTTTTTTTTTTTTTTTTTTGGATGAAACTATATTATATTATCGCTGGTGTATTTGAAAACTAAATATGGTCTGCTTACCCGCCCAGCACGGCCCTCAAGAACTGCTGCAACGACAACTGCACAGGCTCCGGTTCCACAAGCAAGTGTTGCGCCTGTAGTGTCACAGAGAAGAATAGCCCGTAGGTTTTGTTATGAAGTGAGATTCACTATTTATATGCTTACAACTTTAATTTGTCTTAAATTATGTTGAATTCCGAACCTGCCCCACGCTCCCAAACACGCATTTTAAGGTGTGACTTGGAGAAGACTTGCACAAATTCTGTCGTGGACATGAAGAAAAGCAGTATGAGCAGTGTAACTCAGTGAACATAAAAGTGCATAGAAAGGGAAGGGAAGACCGTTTAAATGGTTAGAAAAAAGAAACACGTTTGCTTATATCTCAACCAGAAAAAGCTGAAAATCCAAACTTGTCAAGAAACCAACCTGTATTTGTTCGTGCTGGAAACATCTCATGATGCTCAAACTTTGGACCAATTGCAGCTAAATTTATTTCATCCACCTGCAGATTCTGTTCATGACCATGCTAAAATAAGCACAAATAGTAAATGAACGGTAAAGTTGTACCCAACAAAACGACTATACTCAAGTCTACAAAGTTGCATTACCCTCAGAACATAGTTTAAACTGCTGTAAGCAATTTTAGGTCAAAGGAAGAAAGAAAAAGATTTAAATGTCGAGGAAGCTTAGCCATCACCAGAGTTTTCCACATGGCTTAGTATTGTTTCTTCATTTAATTGTATTCTTTTGTTCACAAACGCTCTAACAGTTAACATTACAATGTGAAGACATCTCGATCCATCAACTACATTATGACAAATGCAATTTATGTACTCATGGATCCTGCAAAGTTCTCAAAGAAATTCTTACTTAATGTTAGAGTGTAGCCTATTGTATATAATCCACTACACTGTTAGGAACCATGGATCTCTACAATAGTATTATATTATCCACTTTGAGCATAAGCTCTCATGGTTTTGTTTTTCCCAAAAGGCCTCGTACCAATGGAGATGTATTCCTTACTTGTAAACCTATGATCAACCCCTTAATTAGCCAATGTAGAACTCATCTCCCAACCATCCTCAACATACACCATGTACACGAGATATAACTTGTTAGGTGATTACATTTAAGTAAGAGAGTAGAAAAACAAAAAATGGGCAAGTCATAGTAATCCACCTTGAAAACTTTAAGAAACTTTAGACGATTGAATGGAATGTCGCAAAATGTACTTCCATATAAATACCTGGTCAATTTTGTTGCCAAAAGTTACACAATGGGGGTTTCCCATACTGACACAGGTCACACTCCATGTTACTCCATCTACTTCTATGTCTGACTTTACAACAGATTCATCTGCATTTGGTGCCAATCGAGTAGGCACATCTGATGCTTTAAGAATTGGTTCACCCATGTCTACTTTTACCTGAATTTACATGTCCGTTAGGATCGACACTGAACCGAAAAAAACTTAGACCACATTTGCCAAAAAATAAAAAAAGAGCACTGAATCGTAGAAGCACAGATGCATTTCACAATGAAAAAAATGGTGAAGATGCGCCTAAACCATCTAAATTAAAACAGATGTTGATTGTAATTAGAACATTTTTCATCAAACGAGTAAAATAAACTATTCTTAAGCCAGATTAGCATACCCGAATGAAATGAACATAAAAAAACTATACCTGTCCATCATCCTGAAGTTCTGGAATAATAAGACCAGCTCCAGTATGAACAGTGAAACTGCGAGAGTATGAACAGAAAATTGTGAGCTCCATCAGAATTCTAATACATAAATATACATGAATAAAAAATCTAAGCTATCATAATTTAATTAGTTGATCAACTTCAAAAGAAAATAGGTTTCAAAACCCAGAATCAGGAATATAAGGCAAACGTTCATCTTTGAAATATTAATGCTGGAAGATAAAATTATAACGTGTCTTGAAAGGACAATCCAACGTTGTAATTCAGCAAGATAAAACAATAGAAAAACCATACCTATGCCTTCCCTGTAAATTCTCAAGCTCCGCAATAAATCTGGCAAAGCATCTTACTCCATTACCGCACATCTATATGATATAAGCGGGAAAAAAAACTCAGACTCAGACGTAATTGATAGGAATACAACAATAGCAGACAATTATTTCTGAAAAACGCAACTACCTCCGGTTCACTACCGTCGGAATTGAATATCCTCATGGTATAATCAGTACCATTAACGCCTGGCATAGCAAAAATAACTCCGTCAGCACCGATCCCAAAGTTCCGATCACATAACTTCACAGCTTGCTCCGGAGTGATCCTAGGCTCTGAGGAGTCCCTATTATCAACCTATTCAAGCTCACTTCCAATCAATATCAGATTAAGAACCAAATGCAGATTCATTAGCCGAGAGTGAATTCAACTATTTCCAATCGAACAAATTTGCCAATTAGTTTCTTATTAAAATTCCATATCTTTTTCCATGATTAAAATCACTTGGAGGCAGATACCAAGTTCCGATTTCCGATTTCCAACAGATAAAATGGATAACAACATGCATCTACTGCCAATTTCAGGATAAAAACAAAAAAGTATGTCTAACAGTAAACTCAGAGAATCATTACCAAGATGAAGTCATTGCCGAGACCGTGGTACTTAACAAAGTGAAGGAAGCCACTCTCTCTCCGTTCCAGAAAAGACAACGACGACGCTTTCTCTGTAAAATGAAGGCCAGCGGAAGTCACGGATACAGAGAGCCTTGGGCTTCTTCTCCGAGCAGAATTCTTTCCTATAGAATCCAGTTGAAGAGTGGAGCAAAAAGAAGATCGGAAAGAAGGAATTGAGGCGAGAGAGCGTGGAGATGGAGAGGTACGTGGAAGAGAAATGGAGGCGGCCATGGCCATGGCTGTAAAGCCGAAGCAAAGCAACGGACAAACCGGAGTGTTGTGGCTGTAGTGGATGTGCAAGGGGGAAAAGTAGTCGACGTTGATAATTCCAATTGGGCCGTACAAAATGGACAGGCCCAACTTTTAATAGACTCGATTTGGGCTTATAATTGTCGGCCCAAATATTGGTAGCCTGCTAAACCGTTGGTGGTTCAGTTTTGATACAGTTATTGTCAGCATAAATAGCATAAAATAGCATAGGTTGAACTCAAAGCAGAGTCATGAGAACTTATACTCAAAGTGAACAATATCATATTACCATTATAGAGAGTCGTGTTTGTCTAACGTAAGATAGAATGAGAAGCTTTGACGACTTTAAATGAAGGTAGAATAATTCTAATGGCTAATTAATAAAATTTCATTTAATAAAAAAAAAAATATATTATTGTAAACAAATTAAGTAAATACTATATATTAAATGATTATTGATTTGTTAAATTAAATCATTAAGTATACTTAAAATGAGTATAAATTAATCTCAAGTATTTAAGAGTCATAACATATTATTATTAGCGTTGTAACCAAATTTAGATTGTACGCATCATTAATTTTCTTAATATTTATAATAACCTTAAACAATTATCTTTTAAATTACAAAATTAATGAAAAGGAGGAGAAAAATAATGGTAGAAAATTGTCAATGACTTTGGATTATGTGCCTCATATTTTGTGGGGACTTTTTAAAAATTTTAAATTAATAAATTATTACGTCAATAAAGGCAATTACAAACGAAAAGTGTACAAGTTTGTGAGTCTAACATTTATATTTATATTTACATTCCATTTTTTAAATCTAAATATTTATCAAATTAGGTTTCGGTTTCATATTCCTTTGATTTTTTTAAAATCAAAGTTCATTAGGAATATTATAAATTAATTTTTTTAAAATTAGATAAAGGTACGTAAAGTTATGGTAATTTTTTTTTTTAATTTTACTAAAAAAATAATATAATTAATTAATTAATTAATTACGATAATGATTATATATATATATTTTAGAAAATGAATCAAGTGGGGATCCGTGATCCCACATAAAAAGAACGGCGGAGGATCGTCGAATCGGACGGTTGGCAGAGCTGGCAGTTTGAACGGCACTAATCCACGGTGAGGTCAATCGGGGTCGGCTCGAAAGTGGGGCCTAAACCCCTAAAGGGCTTTGTGGGACCCGATTCGGACCAACCCGGCACGTGGAGGTCGAACACGGACACGTAAGCGACAAACGCAATGTAAGATTTTGGTTCCCACCAATCTCTTCTAATCCTCTCCCCACCAATCCTCTCCCTCCTCCCACGTGGGCAGTGGTCCCCTACCTGGGCAACTTCAATCAAATCGTCCTTTTTTTTTTTTAAGGTTAGAATGTAATTTTGTTCACATATTTTTTATTTATTTATTTATATTTTATTTTTAGTACGTTGTTAAATTTTATAAATAAATAAAAAAGTTTATTATTATTATTATATATATTATAAATACTTTCCCTCCACTTTCTCATCTCCCAACATTTTCTCACACATTTTCCCTTTCACTTTCTCTCATTTTCTCTCCATCCAAACAGTCTCCATGGAAGACGACCCCTCAGCTTCATACATTCACATGGTAATCTTTTTATTTTCTTTATTATTTTTTTTCTCAATTATTTCATTAAATTTGTGATGAGGGTCTATGATTGTTACGGTGTAGGTGCACCACCTGATTGAAATATGCATTCTTTTCAACATGTCCAAGGAAGAGTGCATGGAAGCTCTCTCCAAACATGCAAATATCGAACCGGTCATCACTTCCACCGGTTCGTTCACGTGACATGCACGGACTTCAACTCTTTTATTTTTTAATTTATAATTTTTATTTTTTTGAGGACTTTGTAAAATGTTGTGCAGTGTGGAATGAACTGGAGAAGGAGAACAAGGAGTTCTTCCAAGCGTATGAGAAGAAACGACGTGACGTTACTACGAGGAAGTTGGAAGGGAACTCTTCGTCCGACACGTTGGGTTTCAACTTGCTGGGTTTGGGGGATACGACGTCGTTGGGTCGGTAGGTAACTACTAACTAGACAGGGTGGCGGAGTAGTGTTGGCGACGATACGACGTACGACGTCGTTCTTATGAGATCGTAGGCAGATAGAACAGCGCGAGAGGCTACTTAGAATGAAGATATTTTAAGATACTAATATTTTGGCTGGTTGGCTGACAGGTGGCGTGGTTCTGCAACTTTTTAAGAATGTATTGGTGTCGCTTGCTGATTGGGACTCCATGAGAGGTGACACGTGGCAGTTTATAATTTAATAAGTGTATTTTTTTTTTCTTCAACTGTAATTAGAGAATTCAAGCCTATTGTCAACTTTAGTTTGTTGCCTGCCGTCATCGCTATCATGATTTTAAAACATATATGTTAAGGAGAAATTTCTACGTTCTTATGAGGAATGATTCATTGTCCCTTTTCAACCGATGTAAGATTTCTCGATCTACGAGCCCCCGTAGTCGCTGGCATACTGCTTGGTCTAGCTCGGATACCAAATACAAAAAATAAATTGTCGATAAAAAAAAAAAACCAATAAATAGAATTAGTTAAAGGTTCGTTAGAATTTGCTTATTTTGGCAAAGCTCTTATGAAAAATTGGTATGGGCTTAAAGCCCAAATAGAGATGGATTATAATTTGGGCCTTTTTGCAAAATGATCTAAGCCTTCCAAACCTCCGGGCTCGAGATTGACCTGAAAATCGCCGGTTCTTCACAGAGCAACGCACAGAGGTTACGGCCATGGAGGGTCTTGCTACATTTCACCACCGTCCTCTTCCTTCTCAACAACATCTTTCCTTCAGCCGCCGTCTTCCGCTCTTCTCCTATCCCACTTCTTCTCTATTCTTCCGGTCTCCTCCGCTGTCTCGGCTTCGTTCTCCTTTGTCTTTCAGGTCATTATCTGTTAAAGCCTCGTCCTCTCCGTCGACCTCCGACGAAACCTCTCGAAACGCTAAGCCTTCAATTTCAGAGACTACGAATGACGGTTTTCTCTCTGGATTTCTCAGAACCGCTTGCATCTCCGTCGCCGCTGCTGCATTCTTCTTCCTTCGCTTCGACCATCGGCGCGCTGTTGTCGTTGCTGCCCCCGTGGCGCCGGAAATGACGGATTCTATTGAAGAATCGAATCCATATGAGGAAAATGAGAGCGTTGTGGAAGAGCAACCGGTGGATAATTCGAATGATGTTGAAGCTCTTCGATCCCTCGTTGAGGAGAATGTAAAATCAGGTAAATTGCCTGAAGCAATTGAAGCCCTAAACCGTTTGATTGAAATTGAGCCCAATGAACTTGAGTTGCCGTTGTTGAGAGCCAATTTCCATAGCTATATGGGGGAGCTCGAATTGGCGAAAAGTGAATTCGAGGAGATTTTAATGGAAGACCCATTACGTGTTGAGGCCTATCATGGCCTTGCAATGGTTTCGGAGCAATTGAATGACAATTCATTGAAGGACGTTGCTAAAAGGATCGAACAGGCAATGGAGAAATGTAAGAAGCAGAATAAGAAATCAGATATCAGGGATTTCAAGCTCTTGATAGCACAAATTAAGGTAATGGAAGGGAGTTATTTTGATGCGTTGAAAGCTTATCAAGAACTTGTGAGGGAAGAGCCAAGGGATTTTAGGCCATATCTGTGTCAGGGGATCATATACTCTCTGTTAAGGAAGAATGACGAGGCTGAGAAACAATTTGAGAAATTCAGGAGACTTGTTCCAAAGAATCATCCTTACAGAGAGTACTTTGATGAAAACGTGTTTGCAACAAAGCTTTTTGGTCAGAAATTAGAGAAGGAAGGAGCTGGTTTGAAGAGCTGAGATGAGTGCTGGCCTGCTGCTTCTGTATGAATCTTCTCCTCACTTTTCTCTGCTGTTATGAATAGATCCATTTTTGTTAGTTGTTTAGTGGTTTGGCATTCATTAAGGTGGTGTTTTATATCTAAAGTTCGTCTAAGTTTTATGATAATCTGAACTTTTCAGAGTCTCCTGTGGGGAATACTGATTATACTTATGTTCAGCATGCCTGAAAGTCTCACTGAAACTGAGTTTCTTTCATTTCTTCATACTAAGATTCTTTCTATGAACATGCATCAAGATTGTTGAAGCTTTCTTTGACATATTAAAGAATCAGGGGATCAGTGCTCTAATAGTTAAAAGGGATCATCTGTAAGATGCCTTGTAGGGTATGGATTCTTAGAATTTTGGGGTGGGGTAGGACATTGGTAAATCAGTATGTAGTAGTTAAAGGGATAAGTTCTTGGATTCAAATTACTCTGGTGGTCTTATGGGCGAACATGTGCATAGCTTAATAGTCAAGACAAGACATCAACTGTGAGATCTCACATCGGTTGGGGAGGAGAACGAAGCATTCTTTATAAGGGTGTGGAAACCTCTCACTAATAAATGTGTTTTCAAAACCTTGAGGGAAAATCCGAAAGGGAAAACCCAAAGAGGACAATATCTGTTAGCGGTGGGCTTGAGTTGTTACTAATGGTATCAGAGCCAGACACGAGGCGATGTGCCAGACTGAGCCCTGAAGGAGGTGGACACGAGGCAGTATGCCAACAAGGATGCTAGGCCCTAAAGGGGGTGGATTTGGTGGTCCACATCGATCAGAGAAAGGGAAATGAGTACCAGCGCGGACACATGGCCTCGAAAGGGGGTGGATTGTGAGATCTCACATCAGTTGGAGAAGAAAACGAGGCATCCTTTATATGGATGTGGAAACCTATCCCTAGGAGACGTGTTTTAAAAACCTTGAGGGAAAATTCAAAAAAGAAAATCCAAAGAGACAATATGATGATGAGCTTGGATCATTACATCAACTCCTCCTACTTGGGTTGAAGGTTGAAATCCTCTCTCAAATTAGTTGTACTACAAAAGTTGAAAATCTCTGATTTCTCTTGGAGCTGGAATTAGGCTCGTGAATGGTCTCCCTGTAGAGTAGTGGGCTAGTGCTTGATTACCATAGATATCGTTTTTTATGGTAATTAAGCACTCGCCCCTGCTTTTTTAACCACATAAGTTAGTCTAGTGAATAGGTCAAAGATCCAAATGTCTTAAGATTATGAATTCGAATTGCGATGACGTTCTAGTCACGATAATAAGTATATCTTACCAGTCTTAGTTTCCAAGTACCATAGGGTCTACCTGTTGTTGACTATCCATTAGAATTAGTTGAGATAGACCGAAGCCAGCACATAAATGAGATATATATATATTATTGGATGAAAGTCTCACATCGGCTAATTTAGGGAATGATCATGATCAAGGAATACTATCTCCATTGGTCTGAGGCCTTTTGGGGAAGCTCAAAGTAAAGCCACAAGAGCTTATGTTCAAAGTGGACAATATCATACCATTGTGGAGAGTTGTGTTCATCTAACATATATGATAAAAGACATTATGATGTTTGAAATTTGGTTGTTGTTGGATTAGGTGATAGTTTTATCATTTATGGGATTAATTGAGGCTTTTGGTATGCTTATAGACATATACTTAAGATATGATATCATATTGATCATATGAACTTTATAATTGTCGGGCAGTATAAACAATACAATCAAATAGTATGCTGCATTTATAAAATAACAGTCCAGAAGGATTTATTTGGATGAAACAAAGCCTGTTCTTAAAGATCCATTTTGTTGATAAATGCTTTAAAGTAATTTATTCATTACATTTGTGTTTGCTTTATATCAGGCGTGGCTCTCTGGAGGGACCTTCATAACTATGCCTTAGTTTTGGATTTTAAGGTCTAACACCCAGTCCGGATCCATGTAGGTTGCCTTCATACCTATGCCTTGAGCATCACGAATGCTCTTAAGAAGATTAAGCCTGATGTAAAGTTAGAACTATGAAGTGTAAATGTAACCGTCCAAGCCCACTACTAGCCGACATTGTCCGCTTTAGCCCATTACATATCGCCGTCAGCCTCAAAGTTCTAAAACACGTTTGTTACGGAGATGTTTCCACATTTTTATAAGAAATGATTCGTTCTTCTCTCCAACCGATGTTAGATCTTACAATCCACCTCCTTTGGTGTTCAGCATTCTTGCTGGCACACTGCCCGGTGTCTAGCTTTGATACCATTTGTAACAGTCCAAGCCCACTACTAGTAGATATTGTCTGTTTTGGTCTGTTACGTATCGCCGTCAGCCTCACAATTTTAAAACGCGTCTATTAGGGAGAAGTTTTCGCTCCCTTATAAGAAATGTTTCGTTCCCCTCTCCAATCCGTCAAGATCAATTCGTTTAAAGTTGTTTCATGAGTTAAGGGTTTAACTCTTAATCTTCTTTGATACAACGAAAGGAGACAGGCTTAAGAAATATTAAGATAATTTGTATTCAGGTGTAGGGAGTTAGGTTTGGTAAGTTTCCATGAAGAGAGAAAGGTCCCATTCATCCTTTTAGATTTGGATTATAATTCTAGAAGCTTTTGGGACCAATTAGATTATGTTTGGTTGTGGTCTAAGGTTTTTAACTCTAGATTCCCTCCTAATAAAGTTGCCTAATACAATAATTAGAGGGCACATAAAAAAACACATGATTTTTGGATTTGACCCGTTTTAATCCAATCTTCCTTTGTAACTATTACGACGTTGAACATTACTTTTGAGACCCAATTGATTCTAGTTACGTATAGATATTAAATTATTTTTCAGTTCTTCTCGATTTGAATTTGTTGGTAAAAAGTTCATTCATTACACGTATCTTTTCGGTTCATCTCGATTTGAATTGAATTTTGGGGTAAAAAGTTCACTTGTTATACAGGATTCAATGATTCAAAAAAGCAAAATAGTATTTTGTTTATTTTGATAGCGTCCCTTCACACCAATGGTGAGCGGAATACCACAATTTCATTCATCATTTTCAATCTACATAAGCCCAAATGATATCATATTAGTCAAAAATCTACATTCATGCCATGAAATTGGGAAACTAACAGGTATGGACCCTCTATCTAGGGAAGAATACAAATTTAGATCGGATTTTAAGATATTATTTGGGGTTGGGCACGGTACTCGACACAACACAGCAATAAGATGATGCACAAACCCTTAGAATTTTGTTGTGTTTACTCACTCAAATTGGTAAAAGATGATGGTAGAACTTTTAAAAGTATAAGACATACAATCTAAGAGTAACAATTATCTAAAGTTCGAATGTTGGAAGAAGTTGAAAAAGTGGATTATATATATATATATATATATATATATATATATATATATATATATATATATATATATAAATAAATAAAAGGATGAAATAGAAACTAAAAATGGAAGAAATTCATAAAATAAAATATATAAATGCACCTAAAATAATTATCAATAATATGAATAAACTTTAACTAAAAGAAATTAAAAAGTAAAATAATAATAATGTGATTAGGTTGCTTATAAGAGAAGA